GTTGAGTATAAGGATTATTAGGAAGTATAGGATAGACTAGGATTTGGTCCTACCTTGTCTTGTACTCCAAGTTGGTCTTTGTACTCCTATATATATGCCTACGAGGCTCAAGCAATACATCAACTATTCCATAAAATCCCTCTCACTAAAGAAAGCAATGGGCTTCCTTTCTTTGAGATAGGACAGCTCCAATGCCTACTCCACTTGCATCACACTCCAACTCAAAAGTCTTGTTGAAATTAGGTAGCACTAATACAGGAGCTTGCTGAAGTTTTTGCTTAATCTCATTGAAACTAGCTTCAGCCGCTCTGTCCATTGAAGCTTTCCTTTCTTCAGGCACTCGGTAATTGATGCCATGATAGTGCTAAAATTCTTCACAGGTCGCCTATAGAAAGTTGCAAGGCCATGAAAACTTCTTACCTCAGAAATGGTCTTCGGAGTTGGCCATTCTCGGATTGCTTCAACCTTTGAGTCATCAACACGAATACCGTCACATGCTATGATGAATCCTAGGAAAAGAAGTTGTGTTTGCAGGAAAACACATTTCTTTAAGTTGACGTAGAGCTCATTTTCCCTTAGTACTTCTAGCACCTTTGGAATGTGATCAAAGTGTTCATCCCCATCTTTGCTATAGATCAAGATGTCATCGAAATAGACCACAACAAAGTGGGATAAGAAGGGTCGAAGGACTAGATTCATCAAGTGCATAAAGGTTCTTGGTGCATTTGAGAGCCCAAATGGCATGACTAGCCATTCAAACAGCACTTCTTTTGTCTTGAAGGCTGTTTTCCATTCATCCCCGGGTCTAATACGGATTTGATGATATCCACTTCTTAAATCCAGCTTTGTGAACACTCTTGCTCCACTAAGTTGGCCCAACATATCATCCAGATGGGAAATAGGGAATCTATACCTTACGGTGATCTTGTTAATGGTTCTACTATCCGTACACATGCGCCAAGACCCATCTTTCTTTGGCGCGAGCAGGGCTGGTACAGCACATGGGCTAATACTTTCTCGAATGTGCCCCTTTTGCAGCAATTCCTCCACTTTCTCCTTCAATATATCATGCTCTTTTGGGCTCATTCGATAGTGTGGAAGATTAGGAAGACTTGCTCTCGGAATTAAGTCAATCCTATGTTGAATTCCTCTCGTCGGTGGTAGGCCTTGTGGCTCTCCAAGTATGTTCTAAAATTCTGCCAATAAACCACGTACCTTTGCTGGAATTTCAACGGTCAGGTGCTCTTCTCCTTTTACAACAAGTGCAGCATACAAATCTGCCTCCTTCAAGTCTTCCATAAACTCATGAGAGGTATGATAGATGGTTAACATAGTTTTCCCCTCCTCCTTAGAGGTATTACCTTCAATTTTGTTTGGTCTTTCTCTTGTTCCAAATGAAATAGTAAGAATTTTCCTTGCCCTTGAGTGTAGTATCCACATCAAATTGCCAAGGTCTCCCAAGAAGAACATTGCTAGCGTCCATATCAACTACGTCACACAACACATTTGAGCGATAATGCTTGCCCAAAGAAAGTGGCAGGTTGCATTGTCTGGTGATCCTCATATTCACTCCTTTCTTGATCCACCCAATAGTGTAGGGGTTTGAATGATCATGAGTATCAAGCTTTAAATGGTTCACCAACTTCTGGGAGATAAGATTCTCGCAACTGCAACTATCAATCACTAATTTGCATACCTTGCCATTCACTGTGCATTTGCTCTCAAATATTTTCTTCAGTTGTGTGTCATCAGGTTGTGGTGTGGAACATAAGAGACGTTGAATCACACATACCACTTCACCTTCTTCTTGACAAACCTCTTGTCCCTCTACATCTTCAGATTCGTATTCTTCCTCATCGCCTTCACCATCATGGATAGTTGTGTTAACAAATTTCCTTAGTGGGCAACCGCTAGATATGTGTCCCTCTTCACCACATTTATAGCATTTTGGGCCTTCATTGGACTTACCCTTGATTCTAGTTTGCTTCTGGATGGGTCGTTTTGCATTTGGTGGAGCAGTCTTTTCTTCCACTCTATTAGGCTGACTCCTAGACGAGCCTTCGGCATGAGGATATGGAGGATATGGAGCCTTAGTTGCCTTTCTTGTCCTCACAAACCTCTCGGCCTTTAAGGCTAGAGCTTGTGCTTGATCAATTGACCAGATTTGTTGCATCATCAATCGATCTTGAATAGCATCATTGAGACCATTGATGTACCTTGCAACTTGTTGATCTTCAGTTTCAGCAAAGTTTCACCTCACTTGTAGCCTTAGAAACTCCTCCGTGTAATCTGAAATGGTCCTATTTCCTTGAGCACAATTTTGAAATTGGATAAATAGGATCTGGTCATAATCAGCGGGCAAAAATCTCCCTTTCAAGAGACTTTTCATTTGTTGCCAAGTTCTCACACGAGGTTCTCCTCTCAGCCTACGCCGCTCTTCTTGAACGCGATGCCACCATGCACCGGCTCCTCTTTTCAGCTTGTATGCGACCAAAGGAACTCTAGGATCTTCCGGAACCTCCACGACCTCAAAGAAAGTCTCCACTGCATATAACCAATCTAGGCACCCTTCAATATCAACATTTCCATTAAAAGTTGGGATCACAGCTTTCACCTTGTATGTATCTCTTGTATATGTAGAGTCCCCGATATGCGTAGAGATCTGGTTCTTCAAGGACATCATCATATTCTTCACCTTCAGAAGCTTCAACATAAATTGGCCTTCTTGAAGCACGTTGAACAACATGTTGTTGTCGCGGTCTTGCTCCAAGATTACCTCTCCTTCTTAGATGAACATCTTCTTCTTTAGATGAATCTCCTTCATTTGTAGCAGGGGGACATCCTTTCTTATCATCTCAACTAGCTGGTCAAATCTCTGATTAAGATCTTCACGCAGCTCTTTGATTTGTTGTTCTGGAGCATCCATCCTCTTCTCCAATTGCTCCATTGCTTGCTGCAGCTTGCTCTCAAAGAGGACAGCAAGAACTAGTATGGGTCAACGAGGCTCTGATGCCACCTGAAGCAGCACAAAGGTTGTGGAGGAGCAACTCCACCTTGCTGCTACAATGTGTACAGCACAAGTGTTGAAGGAACAACTTCAACGTGTTGCGCTAGATATCGCTCTAGAGGCGAATGTAGGCCCATAAGGCAGCAAGAGTTCAATCCAGAACTCCTAGAGCACAAGATCTACTCCAAGATCTTAGATAAGAACAACAAGTTCTATTATAGGTAGTGGGTACATAGTCTCGGTTCAAAGTAGAGGTGAGGACCTCTATTTATAGGGCTTTGGGAAGCCTTCACATACTTCTACTTATAGCTGGAATACTCTAGAAATCATTATTTAAGTTTCACCATTCTACTCATAGCTAATCATAACTAGAAGACTCTAGAAAACAGTAGGTATGATAGAAAAGAAAAGAAGAGAAATACTCCCTCCGTCCGGAAATACTTGTCGGAGAAATGAATAAAAATTGATATATCTAGAACTAAAATATGTCTAGATACATCCATTTCACCGACAAGTATTTTCGGATGGAGGGAGTACTACACTAGAGTAGAAGTATCTAGAAGTACCCAAACAGATCTGGCATGTGTTTTTCTCTCTTCTTCTTTTTCTCTCATCTATTGTTCCTCATCAGAGGGAGTAAATATCTATATTGTATGTACAAGGGTACACCCAAGAATTCAGCTGGCTAGGATAACAGAACTGCTGCACCAATCAGGGTTAAGTTCATGCCAGAAAGCAGCCAATTTATAGCAACCAGAGGATAATAGGTGTTGGTATTCCATCCAAACAAGAATTGAGGCCTTTCCTGATATCAAATGGATACTATTGATGATTCGATATTTTATAAACGTAAAAGTTACTACAGATGGTTGAATAAAAAAACAAAATTAAGAAAAGATTGACCGGGAGAAGGAACAGGCCAGTTCTTCAAAGGAAGGGAGTGACACAATTAGGGGAAGACGAGATTACAAATACTAGACCAACCATGACATCCCTCAAGCCCATCCTGCTAAGAAATTATATCACGTAAACCCAAACAGCCATCAGGTCGAATGTGTCAAAAGGGATTGAACCTCAAAGCGGTCAAGAAGAAATGAATCTCCAGTCGTCCACAATTACTAGGGCCTCGTAGGTTTTATCAGGTCAAGTAGCTTCCCAAATTTCAAATACATTTTCCTTGCTGAGCTGGAATAGTAGAAATGCTAAGAATTGAAAAAAAAATTGCAGAGATCGTGAGCTTTGCATACCTGCAATTGGATGGTAGTTACGTGAAACATTGGTGTTGTTGTTAGTAGTAGAAGGATAAATATGTAAACCCTTCAACTCAACTGCTTTAAAGTAACTGTTCATGGAATATAGTTTTAAAGTATATTTCTTTCTCTATGTGAACTGCAACTTCACACTATATATGTTCCATCAGAATAAACAGAAGCAGCCAGAGCGAAGAAAAAATGCCTAAATGTCCTACGAGTAGCAATAATGAAGTTTTGTGCACGAGACAAGCTGCTGCATCATACCAAGTGTGGTTCCCAATTCCAGGAACTGCTCATTCAATTTGTCTCGTCGCATTCTCTCACGGTCAGCCTTGTGAACCTTGCGAGCGGTAACCGAACTCTGGGCTTTACATTCCGTCCCTTGACTGTGAACAAAAGAAGGAACAGTTGTTGTCAGCAGATACAATATTTAGATGTATGAGTAGCAATTGTTTTCTATAAAATCACATCAACACGTCAAGGCTACAAGAGAAGCATTCACATATGTTGAAATTTGTACTGTGGATCTCCATCATCACTTTGCTAATGGAAAATATTTTCAGTCAAGCATGTCTTATCCTAGTGGCCATAAATCCTATGCACAAAGATGACTTCTAGGAGTATAAGCGTTGTGTAAAATTTAACTTCGGATAAACCCAACGCGTCATCTAACAAAATAGTGGCATTGCCAACGCTGCAGATATCCACCGAATTCGACTACTGAAGCTGCCGGTTTGCATCATGAAATTAGCATTGCAGAATCGGCGAATCCCATTTCCCTCCAGAACTCCTCAGATTCGAGCAAAAAGCTGTTACCAGTTTTGATTGAAGGTCCGGGACCGGAACCTAATTTATTTCAGGTATATAAACAGGAGAATAATAAATAAATAAGAAGTGGCGTGGGCATGAGAACCTGGAATCGGCATGGCACGCGCCATGGTGTGAGTAGAAGAAGCCATCCTCCTGCGGATCCATGGTGGGGGCGGAGGCGCGTGGTCGCCTCCTTCCCAGTGGCGAGCCGTGCAAGCACAGAGGATGGATATCGCCTCCTTCCCATTGGTCAACGATGCGACAACGCGTACTAGTACACTAGCAGTATTATTTAGTCCCCATCGTATTTTTTATAAAGTTTAACCACTTACCCCCTCTCTTCCAAAATAACTACCTCAAGCTTAATACAACTTTGTACTAAACCTACTATAAAGTAGAGACATTTATTTTAAAACGGAGTGAGTACTTGACTAGTAAAATATTAATCCATGTCACAAAAAGTTATATTGTTGGATTTATATATCAATTTTGCTACGTAAACTTGCATGATCGATGTATTGACGTCAGATTTTGGTATGATCAAAAACACAATTAAAATGGCTTCAAATAGAAAAATGCTCAAAGTGAGAAAATTCTATATCATCAAAATAAGAAATTTTGATATTTGGGTCATAGTCATCCGATCTCATCTCTAAGACAAAAGTTGTGTTCGAAGTACTGAAATTTTATATTTAGAACACTATTCTGCTGATTACGCCCCCAGACGGCCTCATATGAAAAAATGATCTGCACGAATTGTCTTGGTCTCATCGAAACTATCGGTTCTGATATAAAAATCGTCTCAAACCGAATTCGTATGCAAAAGTTAGACCTATCGAAATGCAGTCATGTCAGAAGGCGAAATATGGCGCGCCCCACCAGACACATGTTGTGACGCCCCCGATTTAATCGTATACTAATCATACGCAAACGTGTACGATCAAGATCAGGAACTCACGGGAAGATATCACAACACAACTCTACAAATAAAATAAGTCATACAAGCATCATATTACAATCCAAGGGCCTCGAGGGCTCGAATACAAGAGCTCGATCATAGACGAGTCAGCGGAAGCAACAATATCTGAGTACAGACATAAGTTAGACAAGTTGCCATAAGATGGCTAGCACAAACTGGGATACAGGTCGAAAGAGGCGCAGGCCTCCTGCCTGGGATCCTCCTAAACTACTCCTGGTCGTCATCAGCGGGCTGCACGTAGTAGTAGGCACCTCCAGTGCAGTAGTAGCCGTCGTCAACGGTGGCCTCTGGATCCTGGGCTCCAACATCTGGTTGCGACAACCAGGTAGAATGGAAAGGGGGAAAAGAGGGAGAAAAGCAACCGTGAGTACTCATCCAAAGTACTCGCAAGCAATGATCTATACTACATATGCATGGGTATATGTGTAAAGGGCCATATCAGTGGACTGAACTGCAGAATGCCAGAATAAGAGGGGGATAACTAATCCTGTCGAAGTCTACGCTTCTGGCAGCCTCCGTCTTGCAGCATGTAGAAGAGGGCAGACTAAAGTCCTCCAAGTAGCATCGCATAGCATAAACCTAATCGATGATCCTCCCCTCGTCGCCCTGTGAGAGAGCAATCACTGGTTGTATCTGGCACTTGGAAGGGTGTGTTTTATTAAGTATCCGGTTCTAATTGTCATAAGGTCAAGGTACAACTCCAAGTCGTCTTGTTACCGAAGATCACGGCTATTCGAATAGTTTTACTTCCCTGCAGGGGTGCACCACATAACCCAACACGCTCGATCCCATTTGGCCGGACACACTTTCCTGGGTCATGCCCGGCCTCGGAAGATCAACACGTCGCAGCCCTACATAGGCACAACAGAGAGGTCAGCACGCCGGTCTAAATCCTATGGCGCAGGGGTCTGGGCCCATCGCCCTTTGCACACCTGCATGTTGCGAACGCGGCCGGAAGCAGAACTAGCCCCTTAATACAAGAGCATGCTTACGGTCCAATCTGGCGCGCGCCACTCAGTCACTGACATCACGAAGGCTTCGGCTGATACCACGACGTCGAGTGCCCATAACTGTCCCCGCGTAGATGGTTAGTGCGTATAGGCAAGTGGCCAGACTCAGATCAAATACCAAGATCTCGTTAAACGTGTTAAGTATCCGCGAACGCCGACTAGGGCCAGGCCCACCTCTCTCCCAGGTGGTCTCAACCTGCCCTGTCGCTCCGCCACAAAGTAACAGTCGAGGGCCGTCGGGAACCCAGGCCCACCTCTACCGGGATGGAGCCACCTGCCCCTTCAGCCCCCAACTCCGAACAGTACCATAGGTAATGTAACAGTGCAAAGTATATAGTATATGCCCGTGATCACCTCCCGAAGTGATCACGGCCCAGTAGTATAGCATGGAAAACGGACAAGAGTGTAGGGCCACTGATGGAACACTACCATCCTATACTAAGCAGTAGGATAGCAGATAATGGTAACAACAGTAGTAGCAAGGACAGGCTATGCATCAGGATAGGATTAACAAGCTACACTACTCTAATGCAAGCAGTATAGGGAAGAGTAGGCGATATCTGGTGATCAAGGGGGGGGGGCTTGCCTGGTTGCTCTGGCAAGAGAGAGGGGTCGTCAACACCGTAGTCGTACTGGGTAGCAGCGGCGTCGGTCTCGGCGTCTAGCGAAAGAAGAGGGGGGAAGAAACAGTGAATACAATGCAAACAGATGCATAATGAAGCATGACAAAGCAAAGCGTGATGCTAGGCGTGCCCTAACGCGGTAAGAGGTGATACCGGGGAAGGGGGGAAACATCCGGGAAAGTATCCCCGGTGTTTCACGTTTTCGGGCAGAGGAGCCGGAGGGGGAAACTTGCGAGTTTGCTATGCTAGGGATGCGTGGCGCACGAACAGGCTACATATCCGAATTCGTCTCGTCGTTTTGAGCAACTTTCATGTACAAAACATTTTCATCCGAGTTACGGTTTATTTTATATTATTTTCCAAAGTTTTAATTCATTTTCTAGAATTACTGAAATGCTGCTAAGTCCTCAGTTTTAAACATCATTTAGCTGTTTTCCAGAGGCTATAACTAGTCTTCTATTCATCCTATGAATTGGTGCCTTATAACAATATTGATCACTTTCCTGTGGTCTACAAGATGGTAACAATTGCATCATTGTTAGATCCGTGTAACTTGTTTATTTTCTGCTCCAAAGTTGCTATGGTAGTATATCTGTTTTTAGTTCTGCCAGTTAACAGAACATAGAATTTTGTCATTTTCATAGGAATTAATCTAGGCAACTTTTGGATTTGGTCCAATGGAAAGAATTGAACCTTGTCAAGTGTACTACGCGCACATATTTATTTTAGCCATGTTGAGCTTTGTTTAGATCATGTTTTGAGGCTGTTCAGGAGGCTAACCAGTGTGGTTTTAGAAAAGCTAGCAGCTTCTACAGTAACTGAATGTTACTGTAGCAGCGCTGCAGTAGTAGCAGCAAGCAAGCAGCGACACTCGGGGAAGCGATGCAGCAGGGCTGCGGCTAGGCTTGCGGGCGAGCGAGGTGCCGGCGCGACAGCAGGGGCGAGCGGGTGCGCGTGTGGCGGCAGAGGCTGCATTTGCAAGGGTGCGGACGCGGCCACGCATGAGCGGGAGAGCAAGGGGACCACGCGGGCGCTGGCTGGACGCGGCGGACACGGCCGGCGTAGGGCTGCGGTGAGCGCGGTCGCAGGCGGCCGGCAGCAGCGGATGCGGCAGCAGGCAGGCGTGAGCAGTGCCAGGGCAGCGGCGGGGAAGCAACTCGCAGGGTCGAGCGGGCAAGCCTAGCACGGACAGTGGGCGCGGCGCGCGGTTGCCAGGGCGCGGTCAAGCAGGAGAGGAACGTGCGAGGTACGGGGACGACGGCGACGAGCTGCAGCGACGGCGGTGGCGAGGCCAGGGCGCGGCTACGCGTGCGCGGGGCGCAGCTCAACGCCGGGACGACGGGCTCGCGGCCGTGAGCAGGATGTGCGCATCACGGAGCGGCCATGGACGAGCTCGGGGACGGCAGTGGCAACAGAGGGCAACGGCTAGCAAACGAAATCGGGGCTAGCGGCGCGTACGAGCACGGGAAAAAGGCGGGGATCGAGAGAGGAGCTCACTTTGGGGCTGTAGGGCAAGTCAGTGGGCTCAGGGATGCCTTGGGGACGACGAATCGATGACGAGGTTGTGCGGTGGCCGACGGGGAAGACGACGACCAATCCGGCGGTGGTGTCGATGCAGGCGTGATCCGGTCTCGTAGACGACGTAGGCAACTCAGACGGTCAAGGTGGACAAGTCCTCAAGCGATGGCAATGACGGTGACCGAGCGGGCAAGGGAACCCATGGCAACGGCAGCTCGGTTCCTCGTAGGGGAAGAAGAAATCGAAGCGAGGGGAAAGTGAGCGGGGTTAGGGTTTGTGGGAGGGGACGAGGCAGCCGGTGGTACCCTTATCCACGCCGGGGTCGGTCGAATGCTCGACGTGTGGAGGATCCATGCCATGGACGTTCCGTGTGCGTCCAACGCGTCCATGTGAACAGGAGGTCAAGGACGAGGTGATAGTGGGCTGGGCCAGGAGCAGTAGAGGTGATGGGCCAAGGGCACAGTGCCCCGGCTATCCCTTTCTTTTTATTATTACTTTTCTGTTTTGTAATTTTCTCCTCTGTTTTGTATTTTGTTTTGCTAATATTTGATGTTTGTTAAACGTGAAAACTTGCACATAAATCTAGCATAATATTGGGGCATTGCACAAAAAATTTCAGAGCATTTGAAAATGTTTAAATATTTTTAGAAATTCAAAAGGTCAAATATTTTGATGCTGATCCTCTTAATTAATTACCAGGGGTAATATTGGAATTCAAATGAGGTTGGTTTCAACGTGATAATTACTTAGGAATTTTATGGGCCATCACCAACATTTTTGTTTTACTGTTTGAAAACTTTTATTTTTTTCTTTGTCTGTTTGATTTTGAATTTGAATTTGAATTGGTTTCAAACTAAGGCGAGATTAGCAACAGTAATCGAAGTGACGTGGCATCATTAGCAGAGAATTACTGTAGCTTAATTATCCGGGCGTCACAATTCTCCTCCACTACAAGAAATCTCGTCCCGAGATTTAAGAGGGGAGTAAGGGGGAAAGTTCTGGTTCCGATATTCTAATGGATCTTCCCAAAGAGGT